GGTGACGAATGGGGGTATTATCAGGAGGTAACAGTGTGGGTGAGTGTCCGGTTCAAAAATACCCCCAAAATCCAAACTTTCACCTATTTTTTTCCAAAATTATTTTCAATTTAATCTTCTATCAATTTTATTTCAATTTTTACTCTAAATAAATAAAAAAAATTAAAAAATTATTTTATTGTATTTATAATAAAATCCTAAATTACAAAAAAACTAATTTAGAGTGTTACATCTCTGCCCAGCAAACCAAGGAGGAGATAAGGGAGTTGTTTGATCCCCCTTCACCATTTGTATAGTATAAGGCCACCTCCATACCGAGTGGATCCAATACCACCATGGTGTAACCCTACTTCTCCACAATATCATTCAGTACCGTCACAGTACAATCCGGTGCCTCCACCATATAATTTGGTGTCTCTGCAGGGCCACCTGGTTCCTCACTAGCATAATCCAGGTCTCCTTCAGCAGGACCCAGCTCTGCCCATGATGGATTCCGGCTACATCGAGAGGTATAAAAGACTTAATCCATCTACTTTTGTAAGGGCATCCACTTTTGAAGAAGCTAAGTATTGGTTAGTAGAGATAGAGAAGACCTTTGCGACTCTTGAATAAGTTCCTGAACAGAAGGTTATCTTTGCCACTTACATACTCGTAGGTGAGGCAGGACGTTGGTGGCAACTAAAGCAGGCTACTCTACTCACTCCAGTCACTTGGGAGCAAATTTTTACAGCCTTTAATGCTGAGTATTTTCCAGAACACCTCTGACATCTGAAGTAAATGGAGTTTGCTCACCAGATTTAAAGAAATTTATCAGTATCAGAATATGCTCAGAAATTTCTAGAGTTATGTTGATACTCTCCTGCGAGCATGACAGGTGAAGGCATGATGGCAAGAAGGTTTGAATAGGGTTTTCATCCTGAGATCAGACCACAGTTGTATGTCTTTGAGATTGACACTTATTTAACGGTATTGGCTAAGGCACAGTTGATAGAGAGGAACTTCTATATTTTTTTCCCGACAGTGGCTAACTTTAGGCCCCTAGTTCTACATCGTAGGCCAGCACCTACTGCACTAAGCCAGCGGAACAAGAGACCAAGGCCTGCAACTCAGACTCCTCCACAGGCCCTGATAGCAGGATATGGCAAGGTTTGTTAACACTGTGGTAAAGATCATGGAGATCGACCTTGTTATTGCCTTAACAATACTTGTCGCATATAGAGGAGTGTCCAAAACTACGTAAGAGAGTGTTTGAAGAATTAGAATTAGACCATAACCATAGTCCAGGGCAAAGTCTATACACTCACCCAC